TGTGAGCTGCCAGATTCTGGGGGCTAGGAACTAAAGTCTTCAAGAGCAGCAAGCCATTTCTCCAGCCCCTACCTCTTTCCTTGCTTTAAATTTTTTTTTGCTTTTTTATGCATATGAAATGTATAAATGTATAAATGCATCATATACATACCTGGTGCCTATGAGGGTCAGAAGACACAGTCAGAGCCCATGGAACCAGCATTTCAAAGCAAGCCACCATATCTGAGAGTACTGAGAATTGAACCCAGGTCCTCTGGATGAGCAAAAACTGCTCTTAACTGCTGAGCCATCTCTCCAGCTCTGTTTTTTAAAATATTTTTTTAAAGTTCAGGTTTTATTCAAGTTTTTTTTACTCTTCCCTACAATATGTATCTAGAACTGATAGAATTCCTGGCCACTCCTCCAGTTACATGACTCCATATGCGCTGTCCAGTAGCCAAGCATGAGGCTTAGTCATTCTAGGGTCTTACGTCCTACATAACCTGTGCACTGCATGATCACGTAAATTGCGAGTAGCATGATTACTTGATCTATGTGCATGTGTGGCATAGCTACGTGTAAGTCTGTAGTTGGAAGTTTTCCTGTGTCCCACCTGATCTGCAGCTACTCAGACCCAAATAAACACAGAGGCTTATATTATTTATATCTGCTCAGCCATTAGCTCAGGCTTATTACCAACTAGCTCTCACACTTGAATTAACCCATAATTCTTATCTATGTTTAGCCATGTGGCTTGGTACCTTTTCTCAGTTCTGCCTTGTCATCTTGCTTCCTCTATGTCTGGCGGTGACTCCTGACTCAGTCCTTCCTCTTCCCAGAATTCTCCTTGTCTGCTTGCCCCACCTATACTTCCTGCCTGGCTACTGGCCAAACAATGTTTTATCAACCAATCAGAGCAACACATATTGACAGCATACAGAACGACATTCCACAGCATAAGCCCATATGCGCACGTGCGGGGGGGGGGGGGGAACCTATAAAAAGCGGGTTCCATCTTATCCCTTCCTCTCTTCCTGCACAATCATTTCCTATAGGGCTTAGCACCCCTTCTGTCTCCTTTCTCTAATAAACTCTTTCTCTCTCTCTTTTTTTTTTCAAGACAAGGTTTCTCTGTGCAGTTTTGGTGCTTGTCCTGGATATTGCTCTGTAGGAGAAAGCACATTGGGGAAGGTGAGTATCTAGGGTAACAATTCTGGGCAGGTGGAGAAAGGAAGAGGTTCAGACAGTACAGAAAGGGATTTCCAGAGGGACATAAAAAAGAAACATCCAGCCGGGCGGTGGTGGCGCACGCCTTTAATCTCAGCACTCGGGAGGCAGAGGCAGGAGGATCTCTGTGAGTTCGAGGCCAGCCTGGTCTACAAAGTGAGTTCCAGGAAAGGCGCAAAACTACAGAGAAACCCTGTCTCGAAAAACAAAAAAAAACAAAAAAAAAAAAAAAAAAAAAAAAAGAAACATCCAATTTTGGTTTTCACAGAGCAGTATAATTTGGTAAGTCATAAAGAACTACATTATGGAATAATCTTTTTGTACACTGTGAAGATTTGTCTTTCCCAAGGCACCATCTGGTTGGCTTAATAAAGAGCTGAATGACCGATAGCTAGGCAGGAAGAGGTTAGGTGGGACTTCTGGGCAGAAAGAGGAGACTATGAATCTAGGTGTGGGAGACGCCAGAACACACAAAGAGGAAAAAGGAGGTGCAAGATGGAAGAGAGGTAAAAAGCTTTGAGGCAAAACATGTAATAATATAAATGGGTTACTTTAAGTTATAAGAGCTACTGGGACAAGCCTAAGCTATAGGCCAAGCTTTCATAATTAATAAGTCTCCATGTAATTATTTCTGAACTGGTGGCCCAAAGAAAAATTAATCTACATATGGTGTCCAACATGGAGGCTCAAATATCTAAACTAGGGCCTGAGAAAGCTAAGAAAAGTTCTACACAAGGATCCGGATGTAGCTGGAGTTTTCCTGCCTGGCCCACAGTCAGGACAAACTCTCTCACCTGTCAGTCCCACAGCCATTCAGACCCGACCAAGTAAACACAGAGACTTATATTGGTTACAAACTGTATGGCCGTGGCAGGCTTCTTGCTAACTGTTCTTACAGCTTAAATTAATCCATTTCTATTAATCTATACCTTGCCACGTGGCTTGTGGCTTACCGGTACTTTACATCTTCCTTGTCCTGATGGCGGCTGGCAGTGTCTCTCTCTCTCAGCCTTCCACTTCCCAGCTCTATTCTCCTCCTTGTTCCGCCTATACTTCCTGCCTGGCCACGGGCCAATCAGTGATTTATTTATTGACCAATCAGCAACACATTTGACATACAGACCATCCCACAGCATTCGGATGTGCCTTTCTAGTCCTACAGTCTCTCAGGCTGGCTGGATTGTTGTACAAAGGTGAGGCTATTGCCACTGCCTGTGGGCCGGAGCCAGTTGCCAGCACGATGTCCTACGCTAAGGCCAAGTAGCAGTTGACATGGCAGTTTAAGATACATCTCACGTAGTTAGAAAAAAGTAAATAGTTTATAAATGTTAAAATAAAGTCTTCAAAGAAAAAATAAAGTAATATAAAAAGAATAAGCACTCAGGAGGAAGAGCCAGGCAGATCTCTCTGAGTTCGAGGCCAGGCTGGTCTACAGAGTGAGATCCAGAAAAGGCACCAAAACTACACAGAGAAACCCTGTCTTGAAACAAACAAACAAACAAAAAGAGTAAGTCACATAAAAATGGGAAATATATGGCAGTCTGTATCCTGTATGGTGTTGTATTGACTTTAATTTTTTTGAATGGTGATGAGCAAATGACAGCTGCTGAGAGACATGGGATTATAAGAGGGACAGTTGAATTCAACCAGCATAGGATACTTTAGGAATGCCTTAACTTTAAAACAGAAGTCAAAAAATGTATTATGTTGGGGAAGGTTATGTTTTTCTTTCCACACAAAACAAAAGGTTATGGATTCCTTCCAGGTTAATAGAGATCACGTTTGGTCGGGGAAGACCCTCTGAAAATCTTAACTACTTACATAAAGAAACAAACCTTAAAAAAAAAAAAAAAAGGAGCCGGGCGGTGGTGGCGCACGCCTTTAATCCCAGCACTCGGGAGGCAGAGCCAGGCGGATCTCTGTGAGTTCGAGGCCAGCCTGGTCTCCAAAGCGAGTTCCAGGAAAGGCGCAAAGCTACACAGAGAAACCCTGTCTCGAAAAACCAAAAAAAAAAAAGGAACATATAAAACAAAAAATCATCTCTGGCTGGCTTGTGTACAACACACAGTCCATACTTGTGTTAAAGTAGATATGTATGTTACCTTTGAAAGTTTGTATGTTTTTAGAGCAAGGGGGTCATCATACAGCAATAAAAATGGATGGCCCAACTGATCTAGCCTCTCAGAGTGCCTCTGTTGCAGTTTCCTCAGAATTCTGTATCCAGAACAGCTTCAAGGTTGCTGACTGAGATGGTCCAGCCTCACTTTCCCATTACACAGAGACTAGTTGACAAATGTTATGCATAGTTTTCCCAGGACTTGACCACCATCTCAATTTTCTGAGGTCCCTTAAAGATGCAACACCTAGAGACAAGAGGAGGCAGTGTAGAGAATACAATGCTCACATTCCCAAGATGTGGGGTGGGTTATGGGTTCATCAATGGACTTTAACAACAGAGAAACTCCAGGCTTTAGAAGAGCTGGCAGAAGAACAGTTAAATGCTCAGCATATTGAAGAATCAACCAGCCCTTGGAATTCTCCTGTATTTGTTATTAAAAAGAAATCTGGCAAATGGAGAATGGTAACAGACCTTAGAGCAGTCAACAAATTAATTTAGCCAATGGGCTCTCTGCAATCTGGAATTCCTTTGCATACTCTGTTACCTAAAGGATGGCCTCTCATAGTTACTGATTTAAAAGACTGTTTCTTTTCAATACCCTTACAAGAAAAAGACAGAGAAAGATTTGCCTTCACGGTGCCTACTTACAATAATTCTCAACCAGTTAAAAGATTTCAATGGAGGGTCCTCCCACAGGGAATGTTGAATAGCCCAACTCTGTGCCAATATTGTGTACAACAGCCATTGGAAGTGATACATAAAAAATTTCCTAAATCTATAATTTATCATTATATGGATATTTTACTAACTGACTCAAATGCAGACACTTTAGAAAGAATGTTTGAAGAAGTAAAGAAAATTTTGCCTTGCTAGGGATTACAAATTGCTCCTGAAAAGATACAAAGAGGAGATTCTATTAATTATTTAGGATATAAAACAGAACTACAAAAAATTAGACCCCAAAAGGTGCAAATTAGGAGAGATCGACTACAGACTCTTAATGACTTTCAAAGATTATTTGGAGACATTTCTCATCTACGAACTATTGTTGGGGTAAAAAATGATGAACTGAATAATTTGTTCAAAACCTTAGAAGGTGACAAGGACTTAAATAATCCAAGAGAATTATCACCTGAAGCTGAGAAAGAATTGGCCTTAGTAGAAAAGTAAGTACATGAAGGATACGTAGATCGTATTGATCCGAAGCTGGATTGCATTTTGGTTACTTTACCTTCTAGGCATTCTCCTACAGGAATATTAATGCAGAGAGAGGATATTATATTGGAATGGATTTTTTTTATCAAATAAACCAAATAAAAAATTAAAAACTTACATGGAAAAAAATCTCTGACTTGATTTGGAAAGGAAAATTGAGACTTCGTCAATTAGCAGGAATAGACCCAGCAGAAATTGTCGTACCTTAACTAAGGAGGATATTGAAAAATTATGGACAGAAAGTGAACCTTGGCAAAGAGCTTGCAATAATTTTTTGGGAGAAATTAACAGCAAATATCCCAAAAGTGATAGAATTGATCTTATAAAGAGAGCTGATTGGATCTTGCCTCGAATTGTACGGGAAAAACCCATATCTGGAGTTTGTACATTTTATACAGATGCCAACGAACAAGGAAAGACAGGTTACAAATCAGAAAATTTAAGTAAAGTGGTTCAAAGTCCTTATAATTCAGTTCAAAAATCGGAATTGGGCGCTTCCGCCATCTTTCCAGCTTCAGTCGGACAGGCGCGGAGGCTCTGCTGGAAGGATCGCCGCGATGGCCGCCCAGGGAGAGCCGCAGGTCCAGTTCAAGCTCGTCCTGGTGGGCGACGGCGGCACCGGGAAGACGACGTTCGTGAAACGCCACTTGACGGGCGAGTTCGAGAAGAAGTATGTCGCCACCCTGGGCGTGGAGGTGCACCCGCTCATCTTCCATACCAACAGAGGGCCCATCAAGTTCAACGTGTGGGACACAGCCGGCCAAGAGAAGTTCGGAGGCCTGCGCGATGGCTACTACATCCAAGCCCAGTGTGCCATTATAATGTTTGATGTAACATCAAGAGTCACTTACAAGAATGTACCTAACTGGCATAGAGATCTGGTGCGTGTGTGTGAAAACATCCCCATCGTATTGTGTGGCAATAAAGTGGATATTAAGGACAGAAAAGTGAAGGCAAAATCTATTGTCTTCCACCGAAAGAAGAACCTTCAGTACTATGATATTTCTGCCAAAAGCAACTACAACTTTGAAAAGCCTTTCCTCTGGCTTGCCAGAAAGCTCATTGGCGACCCTAATTTGGAGTTCGTTGCCATGCCTGCTCTTGCCCCTCCTGAGGTGGTCATGGACCCAGCTTTGGCAGCACAGTATGAGCATGATTTAGAGGTTGCTCAAACGACTGCCCTCCCGGACGAGGATGATGACCTGTGAGAACATGAAGCTGGAGCCCTGAGTCAGAAGTCTAGTTTTATAGGCAACTGTCCTGTGACGTCAGCGGTGCAGCGTGTGTGCCACCTTATTTAGCTAAGCAGATCGTGTACTTCATTGGGATGCTGAAGGAGATGAATGGGCTTCAAGTGAATGTGGCAGTTAAAACATACCTTCATTTTTTTTGGACTTGCATATTTAGCTGTTTGGAACACAGTTGTTTCCTTCCTGAATTTCAAAAATAAGACTGCTACAGTCACATCACACTATTCAGTTAGTGGTGAAATCTTGTTTGTTACTGTCATTCCCATTCTTTTTGTTTAGAATCAGAATAAAGTATTTCAAATAAAAAAAATCGGAATTGTATGCTATTCTGTTGGTATTAATGAATTTTTCAGAACCTCAACATAGTTACTGACCCTCAGTATGCTGAAAGAGTGGTATTACATATTGAGACTGCAGAGTTTATCCCTGATGCGTCAGAATTAACTTCACTATTTATTCAGTTACAAGATACAATTAAGAAAAGGAGTCATCCTTTATATATAACTCACATCCAATCCCATACTGGTCTGCCAGGCCCTCTAGCACAAGGCAATGATGAGATTGATAAATTATTGATAGGAAATGTGCTGGAGGCCTCAGAATTTCATAAAAAAAATCATGTCAATAGTAAAAGTTTTAAAAAGGATTTTTCCATAACCTAGCAACAAGCCAAGAAAATTATAAGGAAATGTCCTACTTGTTCCTTTTACAATCAGACGCCATTACCAGCAGGATGTAACCCAAAGGGTACTCAGAGGAATGAAATCTGGCAGATGGACATGTTTCACTTTGCAGAATTTGGAAAATTGAAATATGTACATCATACCATTGATACTTATTCAGGATTTCAATGGGCAACTGCTTTGAGTTCTGAAAAAGCTGATTCTGTAACCACTCATTTGCTAGAAGTTATGGCCATCATGGGTATACCTGCACAAATCAAATTGACAATGCTCCATCATATGTCTCTGTTAAAATGAAACAGTTTTTCGCTTATTACAATATAAAGCATATTACAGGTATACCACATAATCCTACAGGTCAAGCAGTTATAGAAAGATCAAACAGAACTCTAAAGGATATGCTAAATAAACAGAAAGGGGTAACAAAAGCCCCCAGAAATAGACTGCATAATGCTCTATTAACTTTGAATTTTCTCAATGCCAATGAGAAACGAACAACAGCTGCAGAGAGACATTGGATAATAGAAAAAACTTCAGAATTAAATCAGCCTATATACTTTAAGGATGGGCTGACCTCAGAATGGAAACCAGGATATGTGTTACATTGGGGACGAGGTTTTGCTTTCATTTCTACAGGAGAAGATAAGCTGTGGATACCATCAAAATTGATAATGATTCGATTTGAACAAGAGAGACCTCTTAATTAGAGGGGGTGATAGTTCATCAACCAGCATGACCGTCCAATTTAAACTAACGTATCATTAACACATGCCCTTTCATTTAATCAGATAATAACTTGCTGAAAGGGAACCTCCCCAAAATTAGTCTTCGGGAAAGGTTTTTGTTTTTGTCTTTTAGGAGAATGAAGGCTAAGGAATCTGAAGAACACTGGACAAATGAGACATCTGAAGAGAAAAGACAAATCATCTATCCCAGGAAACAGAGTAAAAAGGTCTATTGGTATATCATCTATAAAATTTCATACGACTTCCTAAATGTTTGTTTCTGCTCTTCTCTAAAGAAATTTAACACTATTGGTCTTCCTGTAGTCCTAGTTCAATTAAAATTTAAAGCTGACTCTGGAGTTGAAGAACAGCTCTCTCCTTTAAACTCAAGCATGTTGTTAAAAGGAAAATGCAAACTCCCTGTATCATGCCAGAAGAAAAGAGTTATCTTCTGCTATGGGACAGAAGAAAAATCAAATTAATTAAGGGACTATTCTATTACTAATCTCAATTCTTTGATTCTATTCTGATTCTTTAAACTTTTCTTAAAGTATGAATTTTATATCAAATTTACTAGATTAATATATATATACATATATATATATTTTAAACTTTGTTAAGATATGAATGGTCATATAGAGTACTAACTCATTCTAGAAAAAAGGCTTCAATTACCTGCATATATATGTCTTTGTGTTCGAGTCTCTTATCAGTTTTCTGCAGGAAATCATGGCCATGCCTAACATCAACTGAAGTTTCCAGGAAGAAGATGGGGCCCCACGACAACAACAATTCCAAGTGGACAATAATAATATCACTAAGCTGACAAACATCATCTACAGACCAGGTTTGGACTACAAAGTGCTCAGAGCAATTTTGAGAGGGCTAGCTGAGATGATCCAGTGTCAAAGACTACTTGAATAAGGACTTGAGATAAACTCTGAACTTTGGCATTATGCTCAAACTGGATGACGAAGGATATAGTTACCTTTCCTAGAATTTGACAATTAACCTAAAATTTTTCTTTTCAGAATAAAGATACCTTCGCCCATACCCAGCAGGAAGCAATTTTAAGAATACGACACCCACATTCCCAAAGAGGTGGTGTCAGGTGGGTGGTTTTTTGGTTTTTTAATGGGTTTTGGGTCTGGGATAATTTTGATTGTTTAGGAGGGTTGGTTACAAGTTGTTGTTAAGGGTTAGGAAAAGGGCTAAGCAAAGGAGATTAGATTTAAGGTTCTTGTTTAAAAAAAAGAAAAGAAAAAGACAATTACTAGTTTTAAATACTTTACATTGGATTGGATTTTTTTATATTGTATACAAGTTATATATATTGAGATTGATATTGTTAGAAAATGCCATACATATAATTCTAATCTTGTTCAAGATATTATACTTATACTGTTCATTTAACAATGCAATGCAATTGCTGATTCTTGAATGTTATTATTACCAACTATTAGGATATAAAGAAATGAAAGTTAGTAGTTAGACATTACAATAGAACTTGTAGTCATATTAGGGATGTTTTTAAGATTGAGTAGATATATTTTAGATAGACAGGTCATCTTCAAACCCTTCAGAGATCTACAGAATATGGCATTTAAAATGTTTTAATAACTTAGAAAATTTTTCTTTTTTGTTATGACTATGAGACATGTCGGCTCCTGGCAGTACCAATCTACTTCAGAGAAAATATGGGCATTGAAGAAACTGCGTATGGAGTTAACTTTCACTGTGGCAAAAGTTAGCCACTGGACAACAAAGTATCCTCAAATCAACTGCTGACAAACAGGACAAAATGGACAGAGAGGACAGGAAACAAAGGACTACCGATTCTTGCCAAGACAAGTGTGGTTGTGGCTTTATCAAAAGGCATCTTCTGAGGCCAGGACAATATGGCACCATCCCTGAAGTGGCCTTTGCAATCTGGAAAGGGTACAGTGCCCTTTTCTTCGAAGGCAGCTGAACAGGCAGTGGGCCGATGGCTTCTAATGTGCAGTGGAACAGCAGTTGAAACAGTTATTCTTGAAGAGTAACTAAGCTCACACCTCTCAATAGTAGACTGGCATTTAATAGAGCGATGTGGAGAAGAATGGGATGCCAAGATGAAGCCACACACACAGCCAAGAAGAATGGACAGCTGAATTAAAAAAACATCAACAATTTCCAGAATTTAAAATCCTGAATCATGACACTAGTGGAATTCAGGTGTTTCTGGTACATGGACTGCTCTCACCCAATGTGAGGTTGAACTGTTGACCTTGTGTACATCTTACTTCACAAATGAGTCTGTCAGATACGCTAAGCCTATAGGCTGAAGATGATGCCCCAACACTGTGGAGAAACCTGGGTGACTGTCCAGGCAGCTGGCTGTTTCTGTCAACTCACATTTTTTTTGGAAGTTGCTTGCATGCACTTCCTGTTTTTATTTTTTATTAGGTAATATTATTTCCTTCTTGGGTCTCTGAGGGAGTTGAAGATTAGTTACTTATGGTTATAGTTTTCCTTGTTAAGAATTTCAGGAAAGAAACTCACTAAGAGGTGTTAAGTGTATAAATCTGAAAGACGTTATAAGACAGTTCTGTTAGTAATATAAGTTAGGATAGAGTGAATCGGGTACATTTTGGACTTAGCAAAATAGGACAGATAATGGAATTATTTTCTCTGAATTTGTCAAATGCAAATGGACTAGACATTTTTTAGGTATTTATTGCTTGTATATATGGTATATAGTTACTGTATTTTTGTATATAGTTTTTCTTATATTAGTTATAACTTTTTTCCTTTTTTCTTTTTATTAAAATAGAAAAGGGGAAATATGGTGATATTTTATTTGTACTGAAATGTGATTTTATTAGTATGTTAATAAACAAAGTTGCCTGGGGGTCAGAGCTAATAGCAAGCCATAGCAGAAGTCTGGTAGTGGTAGCACACGCCCTTCACATGCCCTTAATCCTGATCACATGACAGGCGGATCTCTGTGTGTTCAAGGATAAAGAGACACACTCCTTTAATCTCAATACCAACCATAGAAGACCTGGAGGTCTGTATAGATGGGCGGTGACGAGGTCATGTGGTTGGGTTTACAACCAATGAGAAGGCAGAATAGAAAGTCAATAAAAAGGACAAACACAGGAAGTAGGTCTCTTGCAGAGAGGTAGGACAGCAGCGGCAGTGAAGGGTAAGGTTTTTAGTCTCAGCTCTTAGCTATTGCTCTGACCTCTTGGCTTTTAACTCTGTATTTCTTATTTAACAAGATGGTTACATCTACAGTGGATGGTTTTTGATCAGTGGGTTATGGATGTTTGTCATCATTTATGGGGGTTGGTTATAAACTGTTAGTGGTCATGGCCAGGGAGAAAGCTAAACAAAGGAGATTCGATTCAGGGAGCTCTTTCTGAAGGGAAAAGGGGAATACAGTATAAAAATGATGGGATAAAGGGGTGGATTTTTGAGTCTAGTTTTAAACAACCACTAGTCTCAAATATTTTACACTGGTATGAATTTTTGTATACTGATACAAATTTAGGGTTATTTTTGTTATACTGTATATGTTTGTACTCTTAAGGTATTGTACCTATGTAGCTAATTTAAAATCGTAAAGTTTTAGTCCTTGAAAGCTATTTAGGATAATAAAGAAATACAGGTTAATAGTCATCTATAACAAACTTACTGTAATGTCAAGTATGTTTTCAAGGTCATACAAAGATATATTTTAGATAGGTGATCTTGAAACACTTCAAAGACACACAGGTTATGGAATTAAAAAAGTCACAATAACATAAGGCTTATCATGACAATGA